ATCACTACCATGGTTTGTCTGTACGCAAGGGTTACCTACAAACTTTGGTTCAAACCAAACGACCAGTCCTCTTCCACTCAACAGGGAACTATCAAAGCACGCAAACACGTGACCAAGATGGTATTGACAGTGTCAATCATGTTCTGTATCACGTGGATGCCAAATATAGTCRTATATCCAGTGTCTGCGCACAGCGAGACACCGCTGTACGGTGGTATTCATATCATGTCGATTGTATTTGTGACATTCAACTCAAGCATCAATCCCATAATATACAGTTTGCAATCCAGCATGTTTAGAAAGAACTTATGGCGCGTTGCAACGTGTGGGAAACATCAGATTCGAGATCACGACTCGTCGGCGGGAAACAGCACTGCGCGAACMAACGCGTCCACATCGGGTACTTGGGCTATCAAGGTCAAGCCTAAACATACTAACGACATGRCTTTGGTGGATTGCTGAATTATGACCATAAAATCGCCAGATTATCATCAATTGAATCGCTATCATCATCATCATATCTGATCATAGCAGCATTTAAGCAGTATCAATAGTGTGATTTTGTAACACAATAATTATTCAATAATTGATATATAGAGGACATTACATGGGCGCGCGGAGACACGGATTTTATCTAAATATATATAAAATTAGTATCTCCAAACGACCATGTAATATTCTGTTTATCTTATAGTTACGTATGAAAGTAAATGATGAAAAGTATGAAAGTAAATAAGTAGAATCGCTTCATTATTGAAAATAACAACTTACGTAATGGAGAAATATAGGTACTTTGTAGATAATTTATGATAAATAGTGATATCCCACGGCAACCCGCGGTACTAGACCCACATAGTGTATATAGAGAGATTGTTTCAAAAAACATGTAAGTATTAAAATAATTACCTAGAGTTAATAAGAATCTCATTTCAAGAACAAGATAATTAGCTTGTGATTGTCGCAGAGTTCCCTCTAGCAGTCACTCACATCTGTCTTCACAGAAATAGTTATGAATCAATTTGGTCAAAGATGCACATTGTTTTGACAACAATCAATCGTTGAAAAATTTCTATCCATGATCCTTTGCGGTCTAGATGCGGAGGGGTGAGACCTGTGACAACGTTTAATCAAGAATATGCACATGCTAAAAATTGCCGTAGGGCTGTACGCCTTAATCTCCACTAAAATTGTAGAATAATCAATCGCTCATCAAGAATCGTAGAAGAGATTTTTTATCTCAACGATACATGTAATTAAATTGTAGAAATGTAATTTTGTCTTGATAAGTTTTGATTTATAACYGAGCTTTTCAACGCATTAAAGCAGTAATATATTGTGAAAATGTCACTTTGGTTCTCTTGAACGCAGGAAAGAGAAAGATATTCTACTAAGTTTTGTAATGAAAATAAGATCAAGAAAATAACAGAGAAATGAAAAGTGGAAAAGAAATTTAAGAAACTGAAGTGAGGGTGGATAGAAACTGTGGTTTGCGTCGACCCATAGCACCGCGATAGTCGCTGTTTGTCAGAAAAACAAACATCTCAATCAAGGTAATGAACAGATCAGACAATAATGTCATTTCAATTTGTTCCTTAGCCAGCAAACGAATGTTTAACAAGCCAACAATGATGAATTCATGTTTTTCAAAGACTTGTGTTAATAGATAGTAGTCGTCTAATCCTTGTAACTGTTCTTATATAATAGTTTATCGGCCTGCTCATTAAACTAACTGTCGGTTAAGCTGAAATGTTTTGTGACTTATTGGTTAACAACATTATCATAGCAGTTTGAAAACTGGCTTCGTCGATGTTTCAAGGAGGTTACTTTTCTTATTCACAAAAGATGGAAAGAGAACTACATAATACACAAAATCTTGAACTAGCAGCTGTAGATTGTCAATTCTCTCGCAATTACGATCGATTCAATTTTCACCAGAAAATTTCAAGATCTCACAGTCCCAAAAACACCGTCTGCAGTAGTCGAGTGTTTTCGTGTGGTTCTTTCGTGTGTGGTTCTTGATTCTTAGTAAACTGGAAAAAATCGCGCGCTTTAAAGGTTGTGAATTTGATGTATATATGAAGTGTCCAAAATGATGTAAATTTGATGTAAATCATTTCCATCAAATTTACAACCTTTAAGCGCGCGATTTTTTCCATTGTAAATGGAAAACAACATGAAAGCACAACAAAAACTCAGGCAAAAACAGCAAGAGTAAAAGTAACAAGCTCTCAACAGMACTCTCCAATTTTATTTGTTCCACTTCAGTTCGTTTCCGTCCATTTCCTTTTATTCATTTCTTTCAAAATGACTTCCTTTTACATGTCAGTCAATGGTTAAGTACTTTCATCTTCATTTCGCCGGGGCCAGTACATGACCCTTTGAATATGGGGTCATGAAGGCTTCTTGTTCAAGTTTTCTTCTCATTCAATCCAAATACACTCTTACTATTAGGTAAAAAACGTGTACTTGAATGAGAAGCTCATATTTTGTTGATTCTTTGAAACTTTCCTTTTTGTCATTATAGAAAGACGGATATCTTACAAGCACACTTTGACGGCCTCGAGTTCGCTAATCTCATTTTCTACGCGACTCGAGACATTAAAAGGTTCAGTCTACAGTCTCGTCATTTTCAAGATTAAACACGATCTTGCATGATCCCACATGGTTTAGCGCATAAAAGTCACTGTTCATTGACTTAATTTCTATCTATTGTAGGTACCAAGCCATAATATGTCGATTCCACAGGGAGTCCAACACGGAATTGCTTCAGTATTTGCTGTTATGATTCTTATCAACTTTGTGGGTAATTCTTTAGTTATTCGAATCGTACAAACAAACCARTACATGAAAACACCAATGAACTATTTACTGCTCAACTTGGCAGTTGCTGACATGACAGTAGCAGTTTTTTTAGCACCGAGGTAAGTTAGGGTAAAAAACCCTTCCGTATTGAGACATTCACGATTTTATCGATACATTTTATTGGACAAAAAACGTTGTTGGGTTCAAATGGCTGCATTATCGAAGCTAACAGCAAAGATAATTGCGAAGACAATTTTAAATTTAATTTTTTTTTATTAAAATGCGGCAACGAAATATTAGCTATACCATAATATTAACCTAATTATTGGTCTTCCCGTGCTCCCCTTCGGTATAATGATGTAACTTTTTKGAGCCAGAAATATTTTTTTCAATTCGGTGTGCACGAGTCGGATTAGGTCTAATACTATCATAGCGATATAGCAATGRACAAAGCACTAAACTACAATCTTTTATTGGTAACTTATTGCAGCAGTTTCTTTGTCATTAGTACTATGAGAGTGATGACAATGAATATATGTTTTTAACCCAGGTACGTACTACGAAACGTCTTCACCCATCCAATGGGCGTGGCAGGTACCTACATGTGTAAATTTCTCACAGGRGAAGTTTTGACTTGGGTGGGTGCCTTGTCCTCAGTCTACACACTCGTCGCTATTTCCATCGAGAGATACTACGCCATTATGAAGCCACACAGCAGTAAATCGAGGTTTACAACAAAGAAAKCTAAACWCACTGCTGCAGCRTGCTGGGTCTTCGCGACCTTGTGGAATCTTCCTCTGTTTCTTTTCTCATATTTTGAYGAGAARAACAAGTTTTGTAACTTTGCGTGGCCGTTCAAGGATTTCACCAAGTATCACAGTGTTATTAAYGCGTTTGTATTCGGAGGGATTCCAATTTCCACCATGCTGTACTTGTATTGTAAAATATCGTACAAGTTATGGTTCCAGAATGACCAAATTGCAATATCTCCAAACAAAGTGCATGYTAATGCTCGCAAACGTGTTACTAAAATGGTTTTAACAGTGTCCATCATTTTCTGTGTAATGTGGATGCCTAACATTGTAATCTATCCTATAGCTTCTTATACCGATATAGAGCTATATGTTCTATCTATAATTTGTGTTTCCATTAACTCCAGTGTTAACCCACTCATATACAGCTTACATTCCAACATGTTTAGGAAACATTTACGCCAAGCCTTGCGGTGCTTCGACCATGGAAGGGTTGGCGTAAACGCTAAGAACTTAAAAGGGCAACCAGCAMGACAATCAGCGATAGTATCTCCCGATCAGGTCGTGATATCGGGGGTTGTAGAGGGAGCTCAGTCCWATGTAAATTTSCCATCAAAAAGTGGCGAGGTTTATGGGTACATGGGATGCGATAATTGACACTGGATTGTACGTTTAAAGTACTGATGAAAGAGTGGCCATTGAATACAGGGTATACGCTATCGTGTTGGTACATATATGTTACGTTCGTTGTTGTGCAACAAATTATTTTGCACCTCAATAACAGACTACCTTTGCTAAAAGGGCCCTAAATACTGGACCTTTTTGCAAACGCAATACTGACTGAAATGTCTAAACTTCAGCGACTTTAAGAGAAATAGGATGGGTATTCAACACTTAAGTGTTAATATTAATTTTTATATTGCATAACGAATAACCTGAGAAAATAACCAGCTAAGCCCATAAAAGACTGTAGCTCTCTTTTGTTGGTATATGTTTTTAAGAAGTTGTTAAACACTTGCTAGTGGTATTTAAGTTACTGTCAAAGTCAAAGTCCAAATCAAGACAAACAGCAGCAGATGTYCACATTCCGAAAGAGAATTCTCTTCATTGATGTGTCTGTGGCGTTAATGGATTACAAATAAAACACTTTGATGATAGGCGACTAGTGTTGAAGCCATTGTAAGACAAATAGGCAACAACCACCAGCCAAATACCAATGATTAACACACAGCTGTTTAAATGGACAGTAGACGACAAAAAGCATGTTTTTTTGAACTTCTTACATGTTGTTGTGGTAGATTAAGAGAGTAAAATGGATGTAGAAGAAAGGCAGCATTAGAACAAGTTAACAATGCATGTTTACTCTGTTTATAAGTGGAAAGGCGTTGACTTAAAAACTGATAAAATTCAAATGTTTAAATGTAATAGTAGTTGAAATWCTCTTTTTGGATATAAGTCAATGAACATCAATTATGTAATCTCTTTGGCACAATAGGGGTGTCGAATCTAATTTATGTCAATTAAACGATCTGGGGGGAATACCTTGAGAAAAAGACTAGTTAAATCATCCTACATGTCGATGAGTAGCCTATATTAATCGTGTCGTTAACAAAAAAAATGACAATATTTGTCATGCATCGTTGTCAATATCGAAGACATTGTAAGTAGAATTACATGTTGTTTCTTGTGAAGCCATTGTCCATCAAAACAGACAATGACAGGCTAATAGATAGACAAAAAAACAACCAAGAACAATATAATCCTTCATTAATGAACAATACATTACTACAGTAAAAAACCGTTCCATTGAACAAAGAAACATTGTCTCTGTTCGACTTTGACTTGTGTTGGAATTAACAACAAGAAAAGACTAGTTAGATAAAAACCCGACTTTATCAGCATTGTAATTAAAATCTTTATGAAGAACAGTTTAGCGGTCATTACCACATTGAGCAACAGACTCTAGAGTGCAAAACAACCCCTCATGCACAAGCAAAAACCAGGGTATGGCTGATTTTTGTTTTGAAGGTGATTTTTATGTTGAAAGGAAACTGAGTTGACCACGAGGTACGTGAAAACATTTATTTGATTATAACCGTTCAAGTTAACARTTMATTCAGTGAAAACATTTAAGAACGGAAYATCACAAAAATGACGAAGACTATTTTCCTGTTGAATCACACAGTAATAACACTAAAGGAACATTGAAATACCGAAGAAATCAACAATAGTTAAACTAGCGTAACTAAGGAGTTTCTTATGAAACTGATAAATTATGTAYACATAAGATCAGAATAACGTTTCGGAAGRCGTTTGACATTTTATCACAGTAAAAGAGCAACACAAAGATAAACTTGACCAAAAACAGTTAGCAATGCATGGAAACACCTTATATCACACGTATAACCAATAATCTAATCTTTTTCTCACTGTTATTTGCATGTACATTTTTGTTAATATAAAACATAGATTGAAAAAAAATAACATTTTTAAATAATATCAGCTTAACTGAAATTCGCTGCAAAGTACAACTTCCTTAATGGAAATACATAAGCACCATGTGAAATGCTTTTCCAGGAAGCTGAATAAAACCACCTTGAAGTTAACCTGGTAGTTCACAGAAAACTCGATACACTAAGATACCTTTACCTTTTCAAAAGATGGTATGTGGAGGTAAAGCGAATCATTTATAATATGAACAAAATCTTGAAAAACTATACTAAGATCTCTTTAACTAATTAGAGCGACACTGTTTCTTCAAAGACAAAGTTTAATAAACAAAGTAACATTTTTGCAGCAGTAAAAACCTAAAAGGTGATGGTTTAATGTATTACGATATAAAGTCCAGTCTCGACACCTGGGATATAGCGGGATATAGCAAGTGAATGAACAACGAACAATATTCAATTTGTGTAAGAGAGATCAATAGTTTTTAAAGTATATTCCCCCAGCCATTTTTATTGATTTTACTGAGCAATAAAGCTACCATTTCCCTAATTTGTGATAAAAACTAGGACTGCAATGACTCAGCACTAACTGGTAGGGAAGGACGCCACCCTGGACTATGCAACTCGCTCTTATTGAAAATTACAAAAAATATTGCTGAAGAATTAAGGTCGTTTATTACAACCAGGGCAGTCTCAAAACTCAAAGTTTTATTGCTTTCTTTAGTAAGATATTCTTATTTCCATCCATAAGAAAGCAATGAATAGAACCCCACCACGAGGCAATTATCCTTGTGACGGAATTAGGCCATGTGCATACGGGTGGTGGCAACATGCGTCCTGCAGCATTGCATAGTGTATTGCTTGTACTACATTCAATAGTTAGCTTTTATTCTTGCATCCACGCTGGATATAGAAAAAAAAAACATTATCAAAGCATGGAAAGTGCTACTAGGACACGACTTGTTAGAGTGAAAACATGTCAATTAAATGAAATTATCACGTAAAGTTCTAATTCTAAAAGTGTTAGAACTCGGGCAATCGATCAAATGAACTTGTTCGAAATATTCATTCAGTTTTAACTCAGACCAAAGCATTATTAAAAGACGTACTATGGCTAGTTCTTCAAGGATATTGAACTCAAAAAATAAACAACAACTTTATACATAAATATGAATTTRAAGTGTTTGTAACCCTTTCTCTCACTAATCTGATTAAAATCAAGATTCAAAAAATATACTTCACATAAAAACACACACCTTTTAACCATGCTTTTAAGTATTAAGACTAATTTTTCAAGGAAGGAAACAAGCACAAAAAATTATACAAGTTTTCATATACTATATTTTGACAAATTGACACAAGYTTTCCTTTTAAAAGAAGTCACCAAAAAACAGCAAAAATAAGCAATATGAATAACTCATGGTTGTTTTGAACGCATTTAAAACAAAGGTTTGTGCCAAACGCTTCAGGAGATATGACCGTGTTAACTATTAATATTCAAGCGTTTTTTCGTTGTAAATCCGATTATTTTCTTTTTGAGCGTGCGAGGCGGAACGGGTGGAAAAGTTTGTGGCAATTTGATGTTTATACAAAATGCAATCAAGCTTTGAAGTCAATAAATGACAATATTAATAAGTGATTTCTGACTTGGCTGCCCCGGTGAATGAATAATAACAAACTAGTACAATAAAGACTCTTTACTAGTACCCGCTACTTGACATACCTCCACATATATCATGAGTAACAAAAAAAAATCTTATAACCTAAAAAAGAGTTTCCATTGGAAAGATTAGGAAGGGTCATTAGAAGAGAGTAACAAATAGAAGTAGCGTAGATAACAAAATGAACCAGGACCTGCCAATGMAATCGTTGTTGAATTATTAACTAAAGAGAAAAGCCGACATTTTGATTGCATGACAAGAGCGTACATTTCGATACATGTTTGAAGGAAGCCGATAAAAAAAACGTTCGCAAACCAACCTAAAACATCGCTCAAACTGCTACAGCCTTTATTAAGTGCCCCGGCAACGCCCTGTGAATTGATATGTAACGCCTCAATAGCCTAATGAAGTATTTATACTAATAAAATGCGACAAAACAAGCCATGATGAATAATTTATTTCCCTGTTAAGATAAATCCTTTTGGCATCGAACTTCAATCTCAATTTAACACTAAAACCAATTTGAAATCTATGCCAATTTTAACAGTGTCTTTAATAATCTATCACACTTTCCAAAACAACTATTCAAATGATATAAATATCGCGTTGTGTGGTGTTTTAGGGCAGGAGTTGGGGAGTGTGGGGTATTTCCTTTTAAGTTTTCATTRTAGTTAACAAGGAGGTGTAGATTCAATTTTCGGGATGCTAGTTTTGCTCATTGTTCAATGGTTTAATAATGACATTTTTAGTAGTTTAATTACGGGAATTTTGATTGCGGCAATTACGAGCTGTCATCGATGTTATTAGAGGTGAATATAAACACATTACCCGAATATAAAGTGTTTGCGGACTTGTTTATTGCCTGTTAAACGGTGGGCGTAAGTGCGCTACTTTTATATGACAAATTGCACTTATAAACAGAGGGCGGTTTCTACGTTACGCCCGTTCAGTTTACAACAGCCACAACGGTTTACCCCGTGAACGTCCGAAAACTCACCAAGTCCTTGCAAAGGCTACCGAAAAGAAAACAAAAARAACGTGGTATTGTTTTCCAATGTACAAAAATCGCAGAATTAAACTTATGAATGCAAATCCATTTAAAAGRACATGCTGGAAATACTGAGACGTTTTCATATATTTTTTAAAATGCRATTTACTTTAACGATACAGCAAAAGGATGAAAAAAAAGATCAGTTTATTGATTTGATTGACATTTTTTTATAAAGTGTTTATAACATTCATAACGGTGTTGTGGGTCATTCATTAAGAGAGGTTTCTCGGGGTGCAGTTATTTACAAAAAGACAAGTATTTAAATACATTAGTTAAAAGGCTTTTCAATGTCTTTTTTTCATTAAGTGACCTGTTCTGTGTTATCATTCCGAGTCGAACATATCTATCAACAYGGTGGCTTTATTATTCTTGATATTAAAAACTGAACTCGTYRACTAGGGTGAWGTGTTTTTAAAAKTTATTCAAGCGTTCGAAAAATAAATTACGTTATAAATAGAAGCTTGAATTATGCATGGCTTTCAATCCCGGATTAGTTCC